GCTCCGCCTGGGCAGAAAGGGCTCCCAACTCAAGAAAAGGAAAAGAAAACAAACAAACAATTTAAAATCAAGAAACGAACAGAAGCCCTGGGATCCCACCAGCGCGGTAGCCCAGACCAGGAAGCAGCTCCACAGTCAAATGGAGCTCCGCAGCCCCTCAGGAAGAGGCAAAGATGGCACACGGAACCAGACACTCGAGCGAAAGGAGGGGGAGGTGGCGAGAGGTAAGCAAGAAATCAAAAGAAGCAGGAAAAGAAGAAAAAAAAAAAAAGCAACACTAGCAGCCAACAGATGGCACTCAGAGAGCCAGCCAGTGTGGGCTGGTGTTTCTGGACAAGATACTGTGTCCGTGGGAAACAGAGGAGGCCGAGTGTGGGTGGAGAAGTGTAGAGAGTGGGAAAGTGTATATCACAAATTGCCGGCGCTCTGCAACGCCTCAGGAAGAAGCAAAGATGGCGCACAGAGCCAGGCACTCGAGTGAAATGAGGGGGAGGTGGTGAGAGGCAAGTGAGAAATCAAAAGAAGCAGAAGAAAAAACGCAACACTAGCAGCAACAAATGGCACTCAGAGCTGGTGTTTCTAGACAAGAGACTGTGTCTGCGGGAAGTAGAGGGGTCCGAGTATGGGTGAAGAATGGTAGAGAGTGGGAAAGCGTATATCACAAATTGCGGGAGCTCTGCAGCCCCTCAGGAAGAAGCAAAGATGGCGCACGGAGCGAGGCACTTGAGCGAAAGGAGGGGGAGATGGTGAGAGGCAAGGAAAAAATCAAAAGAAGCAGAAAAAAGCAACACCAGCAGCCAACAAATGGCACCTAGAGAGCTGCCCGCTTGGGTGTGTGGAATCCAAGCAGCTGGCGCTTCCCGGCAAGAGACTGTGGCCGCAGGAAGCAGAGGAGGCCGAGCCGGGGCGAAGAGGGGAGGGGGGATGGGAAAGCGCACACCGCAAATTACCGGTTGTTTTGTCTCCCGCTGGATGCTCCGTGAGTCTGCTTTCTTATACCCCCGTTTGCTGGTCTCCGATAGGAGTCCAAGATGGTGGATCCATGCTGCGTTAGCTGGTAGGGGACCTCTGCATGAATCTCTCCTGGCTTTCCGTTCTGTCAGTTTTCTCACTCCATTTGGTGTTTGGCTGAGTTCTTTATCTCTTCATTTGATGTTTTAGGGTTTCAGGATTGTTGTATTCTCTGTTTGGCTTAGTTTTTTGGATCTTTGCTTTGGAGGGACAGCGTGGTGCTTCTACCTAGAGCGCCATTTTGCCGGAACTCCATGAATGATGTTTTTAAAGAGTTTTATATTCTATATAACATTGCTGTGAAGTTAAAAAAAAAAAAAAAAACAACTTTATCCAAAGAATTTGATCTTTGTCCCAGGTTTCTGGTAGATAAAATCTAAACCCTTGGAATTTCATGAGTTATTGGAATGTCTTTGTTATTCATGAAGGGCTCCAGACCACACCTGATTGTTTATATTAATGAGATAACTCAGAATTAGCTGGCCATACCAAAAAGACCTATTAGGTGGTATCAGCCCAACTTCTGGGGAGGAAAGAAACATGGGGACTGAGTTCAATGACATCATGTGTCAAATGATTCAATCCACCATGTATATGTAATGAAACCCTAATAAAAACACTGGAAACTGAAGCTCAGGTGAGCTTCCTGTTTTGTGAAAGACGATGTACTGGGAGTGTAATGCATCCCTGACAACATGGTAGCTTTGCAGGGGGAACCCTCCCAGGCCTCACACTGTGCGTTTCTTCTTTATGTTGTTCCTGATTTGTATTCTTTACAATATAAATGTAAAATAAGTTTAGCGTTTTCCTAAGTTCTGTGAGTCATTCTAGCAAGTTATCAAACCTGAGGGGTTTGTGGGAACCTCCAAATTTGTACCCAGTAAATCAGAAGTGTTGGTGTACTGGGGATCCCCGAACTTGCTGCTGAGGGGCTAGCAGTGGGAACCCCTGAATTTGTAGCCAGTCAGTCAGAATTTTGGGTGTCCCAGGGACCCCCAAGCTTAGAGCTGGTATCCTGAGGGAGTAATAAAACCAAACCCACTGCCATCTAGTCAATTCTGACTGATAGCAACCATGTGTAGAACTGCCTCATAGGGTTTCCAAGGAGTGGCTGGTGGATTCAAACTGCTAACATTTTGGTTAGCAGCCAAGCTCTTAACCACTGTGCCGCCAGGGCTCTGAGGGAGTAATAGGGACCCTCAAATTTGTAGCCAGTTGGTCAGAAGTACAGTGACCTGTGACCGCACCCCGCCCCCACCCCCCGGCTCCAAACTTACAGCTGGTGTCTAAAGTCTTGGGCAGATTTGGCAACCTATAGAAATATACCCTTTTACCTGTGAGATCTGACATATCTCTGTGTAGTCAGGTTAAAAAGAAGAATTGCATTGCAGTTAGTGTCGGAGTTAAACTGATTACAGAGTTGCTTTTATTCAGAATTCAAATATTCCATCATTACCTATTATATTTTTATTTTAATCTAGAAATTCTCCTTATTTTGTCACCTAAATGTCACTTAAAATCTAATCTACATGGAACTAGAATCTAAAATAATATGTAATCTATAAAAATTATTCTTAATTAGTGTAAAATTTTTTATTTCATGGATTTTTGCTGTTGAAGAAATGTAAGCGAAATTGTGTTTGTATTTGTCCTTCTTAATTCCCAATGTCCTCCTTTCCCACTATGCAATGCCTTTGAAATCAAAAGTCAATATAGATTGTAGTTAGATTTATATGATAAATAAACAAACAAAAAAAACCTAATTTGTTCTGCTTACTTACAGAGAGCCATATCCTGGAAGATGTCAACAAGTGCATTATAGCGTTGAGGGACCAGGATGCTGATAATTTAGACCGTGCTGCTGGTGCTATCACAGGACGGGCAGCCAGAGTGGCCCACATTGTCACAGGTGAAATGGACAGTTATGAGCCAGGGGCTTACACGGAAGGGGTGATGAGAAATGTAAACTTCCTTACAAGTACTGGTAAGTCTCAGTCCCCACTAACAGCACCACTGTTCCTGAGTTTTAAAACTACATAGCTATCAAACATTCATCCATATGGAAAAGGCTCTTGGTCTGTGTTGCTTGTTTTGAAATAGATTGCTCTACTATCTGATAGATGCTTGCATCTTCTGGTTATGTGATTTGAAATTTATCTCTGAGAAGTAAATATGTTCACTGGGGACGGGAGGTCTTTTATAAATATATGCATTATATAAATTACCCACAGGCCTTTGCCACTTAGGAATGTTTATTAATGCCAGAGCTGTGAGGAGTTATAATTAGCTCAGATGTGGTATTAAGCATGTAATCCTCTTTTAGCTGTATCATTGTACCCCCAGGTTTTTGTTTACATTACTTAAACAAAGCAAGCTTATCTGATGTTTTCAGAGAAATGTTCTCCACCTTTATTTGCAATCTGTTTGCAAAACAACATTTTGTTCTTCCACGTAATCTTCTTTGATTGCTTGAGAGATATAGAACCAGGATTCTGTTTTAGTTACAGCACCCATCTTAAATTAATATTTCTAAAATCAGCCAGCAAATGCATAGTTTTGAATCACTCAGTAAAATGGTATTCTTATGTTGACACTATTGTTAACATTTCTCCAAAAAACTTACAGAAGTAAAAGAATTCCTATGGATTGTCAAAAAATGGATATAATTTGAATGACGGCAATAAACTATTTTTATGACAGAACTTTTCCTGTGAAAACCTCCTGTGAATCTGTGAAATCCTCAGGTTGGATTGTTTTATTAAGTGCCTCCTAACATGGAGTGATGGCGCACTCATGATTCCTAAAATATTTGAAATTTCATGCTTAATTCATTGCTTCTAGAGAATTTTTTTTAATGTTATGCATGGGGCATATTAAATTTGGCAGATATCTACAATGTTTAGTGAATGGAATAGACTAGTCTAATACGGGTGATTTTGGTGGGGAGGGTCGGGAGGGAGGTGATCTTTAAAATTAATTAAGAGAAATACATCAATAGCTGAGTACTCTTCACTAAGAACTAGTCCTGAAGAACTATGCCATGAGGCAAGCTTAGCAAGGTTGCAGAAAAGTGGTAATTAGTTTTGTTGCACTTCTAGAATGTTGTTACAGAAAGTGGCTGATAAATCTTGGCACATAGTTTTCTCAATATGTCAATAAAACTATTTCTAAAATAATTACATGCGCTGAAAATTTGCTGAGCAAAGATGGGGGAGATAGATATATCTGCAACTCTTGATATTAAGTTTATATTTCGATGCCCAGCCCTGAAAAGTCATTACTGTCACAATACGACACATAGTAATTGTTTTTGCAATTGGGTATGAGAATATATATATGACTGTATATACCTATTGCCCTCCAGTGGATTTCAACTCATAGCATCCATACAGGACAGAGTAAAACTGCCCTACAGGGTTTCTAAGGAGTGGTTGGAGGATTCGAACTGCTGATCTTTTGGTTAGCAGCCGAGGTTTTAACCACTGCACCACCAGGGCTCCATAATTGCATTGCACATATGTATGTTCTATTCCTTAAACAAAATCTAAGCAGTACTTTCTTGTCGGTCAAAATCAAGGACAGAGTTATCTCTGTCTCTGATTTTTTTTTTTTCCTACCTTCCAAAAAAATGGAATTTCAAGTAAAACGAAAATGATCAGGTGTTCTCTTTTTAGCCAAATGAAAATTTCCTTTAGGGAATTGAATAGGTAAAGTCTACTTTACCTATTTACCATGACTACTCTACCTTGCCTCTGTGTCAGTTTTTTAATCATATTAATAAAGAAGAGTGAACACACACTTCTTATGGTTACAAAATTTGTACGAGGTGCCAAATTCATTCCCTAGGAAGGGCTTCATATCTGTCATATGCAAAGAAACAAGTCGCAGTGAAATTCTAAAGTGTCCAGAATGTGAAGTGTTTTGGGGGACACTTTACAATCAAATCAAAATGAAAGGAAGTTATTTGCACATTGAATTATAAGTTTGTCAATTCCTCCATGATTCCTAGTGACCTTACAAGTTAACTAATGAGTATGACTACCTTATCATTCAGTTGGGAGAGAGAAGTCTTTTTTCTTCATAATTAGTTACATGTAATCTTAACTAAAAGGAGCCCTGGTTGCGCAGTGGTTAACCACTCAGTTGCTAACCGAAAGGTCTGTAGTTTAAACCCACTAGGTGCTCCGCAGGAGAAAGATGGGACAGCCTGCTTCCATAATGATTACAGCCCCGAAAACCCTATGGAGCAGTTCTACCCTGTCCTGTAGGGTCGCTGTGAGTCAGAATCAACTCGCTAGCACACAACAACAGCAACTGCAATCTTAATTAAAATTCTCCAGCTAAGTTATAACCTGTATAGAAAATATAATATAGAATAATCCTGCATTATTCTGTATAAGCACTACTTGAAGAACTTACTGATGAAGGTCAAAGACAGCCTTTGATATGAATTACATGTGAACATAGAGAAAATGAAAGTCTTCAGACTAGTCTGATAAACAACATCATGATAAATGATGAGGAAATTGAAGTTGTCAATGATTTTGTTCTACTTGGGTCAACAATCAATGCCCATGGAAGCGGCAGTCAAGAAATTAATGACATATCACATTGGGAAAATTACTACAAAAGACCTCTTTAAAGCATCAAGAAGCAAAGATGTCACCTTGATGACTAAAAGTGTATCAAGCCATGGTCTTTTCAATTGCCTCGTATGCATGCAAAAGCTGAACAGTGAAAAAGGAAGATCAAAGAAGAATTGACACATTTGAATTGTAGTGTTGGTAAAAAATATTGAAAATACCATTGACTGCCAGAAGAACAAACAAATCGATTTTGAAAGAAGTACAGCCAGAATGCTCCCTAGAAGTGAGGATAATGAGACTTCAACTTGTTTACTTTGGACACATCATCAGGAAAGATCAATAGCTAGAAAAGGATATCATGCTTACTAAAGTAGTGGGTCAGTGAAAATGAGGTAAACTCTGTGAGAGATGGATTGACATAGTAACTGCAACAATGGCCTCAAACATACCAACAATTGTGAGGATGGCACAAGACCAGGCAGTATTTTTCCTGTTACTCCTTTCACGGGTGAATTTTTTTTTTGGGGTGGAGGGGAATTTTTTGGTAATGCTATGTTTTTTCACTATTGGAACAGATGCTGAAAAAAATGGGATGCCAATTGCAAGTGGGATATATTGGTCCCATGTCCTATGAAGCACATCACACAAGAGGAACATATTGGTTCCTTGGCTCAGGAAGTACATCACACTTCCTGGTTTCACTTAAGCTATAAAATATCTTATTCACCTTTCCAAAAATACATACGAAATACTCAACTTTGCACTTGCTGCCTACAATTGTTATCAGTTTGATTTAGAGTGGGCCATATTGGTACCATGTTCCATGAAGCATATCACATTTGTGGAGCATATCAGTCCCACAGCCCAGGAAGTGCATCACAACCTGTTTTTACCCCAAAAACTAACTCATTTACTTGAATATTTCCAAATGCTGGTACCTAAGCCCCCCCCCACCCCAGTAACACAAAGGAGATAGTAAACATACTTGCAAGCCTTATCTCACTGTACAGAAGCCAAAAGAAACAAAAGTTTCACACAATCAGTCCTCTGGGAAGCATCCTCTCATACGGATGGATCTCAAAACTCAAATTTGGCACAGACCAACTTCCTTGTTTTTTAGGCAGTTGCACCAGTATCTGCCAGGATGCCAGAATGTACTAAAGTGGTTCGAATGCCTGCCAAAAAACCTCCAGGGGTGGAAAATGTAGCTGGGACATATGTGTCGCCATGAGTAGGAGCTGACTTACTTGATAGCAACTAACAACAACAACAGTTTTGTATAAGTAGCATCTTATTAGGATCCTTGTGGTGCCGTGGTTAAGAATTCGGCGGCTAACCAAAAGGTTGGTAGTTCGAATCCACCAGCCTTTCCTTGGAAACCCTATGGGGCAGTTCTACTCTGTCCTATAGGTTGCTGTGAGTCAGAATTGACTCAACAGCAGTGGGTTTGGTTTTTTGTTTTTAGCTTCCAATTTCATCATTTAAAATTTTCATATTATTTCTCGCTTCCTCTTTGAAAAAAAAATCTCTTTCTTGTCTTACATGTTTAATACCAAACTTTCCTCCAAGCAGCTTTCCTTGAAATTTATCAAACGCATGTATCACTAAAGGGAATTCTGTGCAATAAATTAGATGAAAAAGCTAATTAGATCAGTTTGATCTTAACCAAAGCTGAAAAATGTGAGCATTTTTCTCTCCCATAGAGATATTATCTATGAAAAATACTTCCAACTCTTTTATCTTCCACAATTAGCTAACAGAAGGTCTTTGTTCACATCTGTTCCTTACTTTGGACTTATTATTTATAAATAATCATCAAATTAAGTAATTGGAAATGTCATGTTTTGTGTTATGAAGACTTAATAGTTCACATTTTAGTAAATGAATGGTTTATATGTGTGGTTTGTTTTTCTTTTCTGTTCTTTCTCTCTTATACAGCTCTCAGGTCTTAACCCTGATTCCTGAAAATAACTTAATGAGGAGCTATTGTGAATTGTTTTGATTGTTGAGACTTCCTTATCTTTGCAAAATTTGTCTTAAAACATTGTCATCAATGATGAAAACTAAGCCATATTTATCTAAATCACAAAGAGTGTTTTTGGAACATAGCACCTTTGATTTTAATCAGACTTTGTGGCTTATTATCACATTTTCAAGATTTGCTGATCTAGGTGTTTTCTCAGCATTAGGGAGAAGGGTTGCCATATTACATTTTAGGAATTTGCATTGTTCATAAACCCTAGCAGTTGATTTTAAGTGAAATGTAGGCAATATCTGAAATGCTGCATTCATTCAGACAGAGGCACAACATTGTAATCTCCATTTGAAGTTCTTTATTCTGCCCCATTCTTTTGCTGTTACTAAGCTCTTTCACCTGTCAGGAAGTCCTGGTAGAGGA